GCGTATCGTGTTCTCCCTGGAGCCTTTGCAGCTTGCGGCAGGCCCCTCAGAGCTGATAAGCATCAGGACTTCGCTTATTTTGTGGGCCTGTAGCAGAGCCTGGAGTCTGCAGGAAGACGAAAGATAAGCCATGCTTGTTAGCAAATAATTAATCCAGGCTTTGAATATTATTGTGCGTTTAAGAATAGTTATTGTATAGGGTAATTTAGAAAAGATAAATTACATGAATTGTATAACTACAGGTGTTTTATATTAATTTAAGTCCATGCTATACTGCTCATTTTGTCCCTGTATAGCCCTATCCCATGACTGGATTAATCCCCAGCCGAGTTAATCAGTAGATAAAGATAGATGTAGTAAGAAAAGATGAATAATTGAACAGCTGATTAAGACATTTTAACTGATGTAGACATTAGATGAGAATAAGGGTAAGATAAGCATTCATAATAGAAGTTAAGAGGTCAGATTCTTAGAATTTAAAGATGGTTTTAAATAGAACATTGTGAAACTAGACATAGAAGGGAAATAAACTACTTTTATGATCTTGCATTGGACCAGCGGTTGAAGTGGTTTACGTGGTCAATAAACAAGAACTGAAATGGAATGCAAAGAACCGGTTTACCGATGGAAAATAGAGAACTGTCTGCTGACCAGAAGAATGAAGAATTGAGAACACAGTGGAAACCTTAGGTGGACTTTGATAATCATGTAATTGTTATAGAAACATATATAAGGTGACAATTGTAACACTTAGTTGCCACTCACTGAGTTGATGGCCCAACTCTGAGTTGTTAATAAAGCAAACATAGAGATACCCACTTTCTGGTGAAAATTCTTCAACAATGCTCACAGTACACAGGGCACAGCTGGGAAGAGCAGCTCCCGAGGAGGGGCCGATGCGGGGGTTCAGGGGTGCAAATACAGGGAAGGAGCGGGCTTGTTCCCCTGCCGCGTCAGGAGAAGAGAAGGGGTTTCTAAAGTTTTGGGACCAGGGGATGGTTGGGAAAGGGAGATGGGTTCATCAGCTTTTCTCGATGGGTTTTGCAGTTTTATTTGGGTTTCAATGAGGTCTGTTCTGTTTTAGTCTCTCCACAGGTGACGGGAGGTAAGACTAAGTCGTGAGAGACGCAGCATGAACTGTCCGGGCCTGCGCATCGCAATGTGCAGGGCCGAATGTCAGACAAGTCCCATCTCGGAAAGCATT